ACCTAAGATTTATAAAGAGCCCTACCTTACCTGAGATAAGGCTGTGCCTCCCATCTTACTACATGTCAGAATGACTCCAAAGTAGGCCAGATTTTAGGTAAAGCCCAGTACTCTTAATTTAAGGTGAAACTGAATTTGCTGGATGTTTATGATAAAGATTTAAAATTAAATTAAAATGGCCAAGAAAACCAATATTTGGCTCTGGCCCTCTGAATCAATCTGAATCCAGAGAACAGGGAACTTCTCTAAAGAGCTTTGCAACTCTGGGCCACATAACTTCCTGATCAGGGAGATTAATGAGACCATTGAAGAATGAAAAGCCAATCACTACACTTGCTGTGAATAGGAGGGTCATTGAAGACAGGAGATATCCCTGATGCTTCCAAGGGAAGACACATGGTCATGCAAGACCTGGACCCATCCTAGCACAAATGGCACTAGCAGAACTAAGAAGCTGCTCTCAAGTTCCCCCACAAGCGACCCCTATGGGAACTCGGCTGAATCTTAACAATAGATAGAAACATAGTCAGTTTTGACCAGCTTGATCTTAAACACTTAACAAAAACTGTTAAGCCAAAACACAGTCATTCCTAGGAGTAATAAAAGACAAGAACAGCTAGAAAAGAGGAGACAGCAACTAGCCAACAGTCTCCATGGGGAATGTTCAGTCAAGTATAGCCTTGGCTCCTCCCTCACACTGGACCCCTATTAGTCCTCTCTATGTTTCTCCTAATAGGACCATGTATATTAAATTGCCTACAGAAGTTCCTGCAAGATCAGATACACAAATTCACCAACAAGCTGGTCAATCAACTACTTCTTTAAGACTGCCAGCCCTGATGCCCAAGATGGAGACCTACGACTCAACTCCTCTGGCTCCAGAGAATCTGTGCCCATCTAAAACCCTCTCTAACCCTTTTTTCCCAGTTTTCACAACCCCTCTTTCACTTCCTAGGAATGAGAACTACTCTCCAGCAGGTCCACTCTGCTTATTCTGTCTGCTCTACATATCCCCACAAGGAAGTATCAAACCTAAACTCCCCACACCTCAGATGAGGAGCCACCAGCCAGGCAAAGACTGGTAGATCAACTTCACTCATATGCCGCTACCTACTTACTTTGATTGATACTTTTTCAGGTTGGATAGAAGCCTCCTCTACATCCAGGGAAACTGCTGACACTGTTGCCTCCATCCTCATTGAGCAGATCATTCCCAGGTTCGAACTTCCCGCCTCCATCCAGTCAGACAACAGTCCTGCCTTCACTTCTCAGGTTGTTCAACTAGTCTCCAAAGGCCTCAATGTCACTTGGAGGCTCCACATCTCCTACCAACCCCAATCCTTGGGCTCAAACCATGCATCCGGGAAACTGATTCTGGCAACATCGGACCAGAGGACTCGCAAGAATCCACACCTACATACTCTTGCTCTCCCCACCCATCTGACCCTTTAAAAATTCATCTCTCTCGTGGTTTTGCCCATACACCCATAGTTGAGAACATATCCAAAAATATACCTTAACTTTCTGATCCTCATCCTCATCCTCACCCCAAGGGTAACGCCTTCGCCACCGTATGTCTGGAGATTCAAGGTGAGAGAAACATACACACAAAAATCATCCGGACCACTCGCTTGGCTACCGCTTCTGACTATCCCCTAACAGGGTGCTCCTCAGCCATCTATATTGTACTCTCTTCCTCTTCCTCTGAGCTCATTAAGCAAGCCAGCCGCCCTTACTTATGCTTTTTGTATGACCAAAATAAGGATTACTGCAAACAGTGGCCGGAAACTTTCGGAAGCTGCCCCTATTGGTCATTTAGAATTCATGATGCATATTCAGGATAATTAAATGAAAGAAGATTCAAATTTGAGTCTGCCTCCCACCAATGCAAGCTGACCATCCCAGACCCTGGGAACCCATGCTGGGCAGCAGGAGTAAAAGCTTCCTTTTATTGCGGTGGGTATGCTTCTACTCCCTGTGGTTCCTTATCCATTACCCAGGAATATGTTTCCATAGAGTCCCCAGTCTCTCTTGTCTCAACCAACATAAAACACTCAGAACAACAGCTGCTCGCATCCCTAGAAAGCCAATGCACTTCTGACTCTCAGGCTTCACGGATCTATACCTGGTTACAGATCAGCACTGACACATTGTCCTACCTAAACCAAACTTTCCCCACTGCAAGTCCAGCAAATTGCTTTCTGTGTGCTTCCCTAGCACAGCCCTTACTTGCTGAAGTTCCAATAAAAGTTTCCAGCGTGGATGTTTCCAGCTTGCCCAACTCATCCTACGAAAAGGATCCTATCAAACCCCTGCAGAATGTTCCTTTATAGGAACCGAGGAAAATAACCACACCATAATTCCTTGGGTTTGCCTTCTGGGATCTGCGACTCCCAATTCCCTTCTGGCAGGTGTTTGCCACCATAACCTAACCATCAACCACACCACTTATTCCCCACCGGGTCTCTTCTTCTGATGCAATGGCACTCTCACCGCCATTATACTCTCCAACATGTCTAGCCCATTTTTATTAGTCACCATAGTTCCACAACTCATTCTCTATAGCAGCTCTGAAATAAAATCCATCCTTAACCCTCTAAAACATGGAAAACAGGCTGCATTCCTTCCGTTAGTGGTAGGCATTTCATTAACGGCCTCAGCGGCAAGCACAGGGTTGTCTGGAGGAGCCTTAGGTCATTCCCTATGGGCTGTCAAGGACATTAATTCAAAACTTGAAGGAGCACTTACTTCCACAGCAGAATTTCTAACATCCTTACAAAAACCGGTCACCTCATTGGCACAAGTCACCCTTCAGAATCGAAGGGCCCTAGATTTACTCACTGCCAAAAAGGGCGGAACCTGTCTTTTCCTTAGGGAAGAGTGCTGTTATTATATCAATGAATCGGATCTTGTAGAAGACAATGTTGTTAAGCTCATTGACCTGGCAGCCACCTTAAGGACCCCAACAAGTCAAAACCTTTTCTCTTCCTTAATGTCCACTCCCCTTCTGGCATAGGTATGGCCTATCCTTGGACCACTATGTGTAATCTTTTTAATGTGTCTATTTTTACCATGTGTTATAAAGTTTATTCAAACTCAAGTAGGTAAAATCTCTAACCAAACTTTTAACCAGTTTCTATTTAGAAATTATCAGCTCCTGGCCACAGATGAATCAACCATCTTCTCCAGGGAACACCCCCCACAATGCTGAGGGACTCATCAGGGATTCCTGGGATACCTTCGTGAGAGCGATATCTGATGATGCCTGGCTTGTACCCACCGTAGAGACTTATACCGACTGGACTGAAGTGATAATGGACCTTTGGCTACAGGGAACATTTTGTGATGTCATATCTGACCTTATACAAATCTTTGCAGCTCTCTTGTGGGGACTCCTAACTTCCCTCCTTCAGACCCCTTCCCCAGCGACGCCCCCACTCAGCAGGAAGTAGCTAGAATGAATCTATGTCCCTTTCTATATAATAACAAAAAAGGGGGAATGTTGGGAGTTTCCCTAAGAACTCCCCGGGCATTTGAGACATGACGGCGGGCAAATTGCCAGTGGGTGGCTAAGAACTCCCCGGGTCTTTCAGATAAGGAGCCCCTAATGTAACATGGTGGTGGGCAAATTGCTAGGGGGTGGATAACAAATTGTCTTGAAAATTTTCTAATTGGTCCTCCCGTCTTCCATGCTCATGGACAGTTCGTGCCCCCCATGAATCTTATGCAGGGTGGACATGCATGCACCATAGGTGATGATCTGACCTTTACTATGATTGGCCCTGGGGGCTTCCTGGTTTAAGATAACTGAGTTTCACTTTCTATATAAGCTAGAACCAGCTTGCAATAAAGCGCTTCATCTTTGTCACTGCTATCTGTGTGTGTGCATTTTAATCTCTGATGAAGAACCTTGGCTTTTCAGCAGGAATGATCCAGAGCTTTTAAAAACCTAGATGGCAGCACAGGATCTAATCCACCATGTTTTTCTCACTTGGAATGCTGTTCCTGCATGCTCTCCACATCTCCATCCCCACAACATTCAAAACCTACCCCAAGCCCCACCTTTCCCAGGAAGTATGCTCTGTCCCCACCAGCTACACCTATGCCAGACACTATGCTGAGGAGTTGATGGGCATTGTCCCATTGGACCCTCCAGTAATCTGTCAGGAATGATTGTCCTTACTAAGAGGGTGAGTCTCCGAGAGGGTAAAGTCTTTCCTATGGCTTTGGTATGGCAGAGATGGGAGTGACACCTGGTCTGCAAGACTCCAAAGCCTATGTTTTAAGTCCTTTCTGCAGGACGCCATTTCCCCAGCATCACCCAGTTCTGTAGTCATGACTTGGTGCCACTGAGGAAAAGATCCCTCTAGTGCTTCTGTTTTCATATGGGCCCAAGGCATAGACTTACTCAGAAGTAAATACTTGTTCATTTGTTGCAGGGAGACAGAGGGTTGCAGTGTTGGGTTCAGAGAACAAGGAAAAGGAATTTAAATGTTCTCAATATAAGATACCAAACATTAAGGACATTGTTTTGTTCAACCCTGTTTTAATGCTTGCAGCATCTTTGGTAGAGACAGTCTCATTGTTTCTGAAGTTTGTGAAAAATTGAGTAATTCACCTAACGCCATACCCCAGGAGAAAAGCAGAGCAGAGACCCTCCACACATTTCATTTCCCAATGATGCTCATTCCCACAACTCGCAATGAGCTTTCTGATTTCAACATGCCAGACCTACAGTTAAATCTGGTTCCAACTGGAAGCTCTGTAGAGCATCCATGAATCTTCATGGGAATGTGTTTTGAGAAATTTAAGGTCACTAAGTAAATTTAAAAGAGGGGGGACTGCCAAGTTTCAAAAGGGCAGGAACAATCCTTGACTTCACACCAGTGAATGAAAGACCATTCCAAGGACAGGAAGGAGGAAAGGTCAAGGCCCCTGGACAGAAAAAAAAAACCACAACCCAGATGGATAAAAAGATAGAAGGGTGATGCTACAGTGGGAATGTGCTCAGTCCTGGGGACTGTGAGGAGACAGTTTTATTCCTTACCAAGATGAAGCTCCTGTTGTTGAGTCTGGGACTGATCCTCATCTGTGCTCACACGGAAGGAACCCATTATGGTTGGAAAAGAAAATTTGATCCACGGAAGGTAAAGCTCTGGAGCATTAACATTTTTATTTTAAAGGGTGGCATGTTAAAGGAGTGGGTTCAGACCTGAACTAAGAGCAACTGTGCCATATTAAAATGCAACAGTGCCGGGGATTTCCATTTTCACTGAAGAGACAGTGGAAATGTCCTAGGTGTCGTGACAAATGATCTGAGTTCTAATTCCCTCTTCTCATCCTGAGTCCTGCCCCATAGACCAAGAGTTCAAGGAGAAGAGTGTCTGTGTGACATTCCCTCTCCTCTTTTCTCATTTAATCATTTTTCTTATTTATTGCAGTATTCAGGGGAGTGGTATGCCATTCTCCTGGCCTCTGATCAAAAAGAAAAGATAGAAGAAAATGGTACCTTCAGGGTTTTTGTGGAATATATCCGTGTCTTGAAGAACTCTTCCGTAGTTTATAAATTCCATAGAATGTAAGTGTGGCTTTTTTAGATGGGAAGGGGAAAATGAAAGAGTAGGTATGGTCTTAACCTAACCACACACACACACACACTCATGCACACAGACATGTGCACATACATACTAAGCCTGCATCCAAAATCACAGTCCCTCAGTTGACACTGGCCCAGGACTTAATGGACCTGGGGATTTTCAAGATTCATAGTTAAGAATTGGTTGCAGGAGTAAGTTTATTAGAAGTGGGGGATGCAGAGGGCACAGGAATATCTGAATCATGGTTAGCATGACAATATGGAATAGTTCAAGGGTATGGGATTTAGAATCAACAGACTGATTTGATTTTTTTTCCAGATTTTGACCAAGAAAACCCATCCCTTGCCAGGTGTGGTGGCACCCACCTTCAATTCCAGTGACTCTGGAGGCTTGGGCAGGTGGATCATGAGTTTAAAGCCAGCCTCAGCAATGTAGTGAGACCATATCTCTAAATAAAATATAATAAATGGCTGGGGATGTAGCTCTGTGTTTAAGTACCCCTGGGTTCAATCCCCAGTACCAAGAAAAAATATTTATCCCTCCCCACCCTCATTTTCCCATGGACAAAAGCTGGTGATAAAGATTCTCCCTCTTGGTTTTTTTGTGAGAACTGAGTCAGGTGATGTTCATAATGAACTCAGTTGTCAGGCCGGCAATTGGTGCATACTTAGCTAATGATCTTGACGAGTGGCCATGGTATGTTAGTAGTAAGCATGGGAATAGTAGCAATAACGATGAGTTATTATTGAACTGCAATTCAAGCAGTTTTTTAAGTCATTCTCCAATAATCAAAGTATATGGAACATTTATGAATAAAATCTTTTTGGTAATGTACAAAAAATATTTCAAAGGTAAGTGAAATCAGAAACTCAGGTTATAAGGAGAATAGAGGATGAATGATTCCTAGGCACCAACTCATGTTTTTTACAGTAAAAAAGGAGAGTGTTCTGAAATTTCGCTTGTTTCAAACAAAACAGAAAAGGATGGTGTATATAAAGATATATGTAAATATACCACAAATGTTCTTTCTAAATTATATTTCCAACTGCAAGGAATTTACTGAACTCCAATATCATCAAGATATTTATCAATAACTGATAAATACTTATTTAAGGAATATAATAGTGGCCATCTAATAGCCAATGTCCTTGATATCTAGAATAAACTTATGTGCAAAAGCCAATTCCTATAATACCATCAAATAAAGATTGCAGTCTGGTCAGATGTACCTCCTTCTGCAACAAAGGTAATTGGCAGGAGGGGAAAAGGTAAACTGGGTAGGACAGCTGCTCCTTTTCTGCCATCTGTGTGATTATGCCTGGGGGCATTGCCACACATATAGCCCAGGATGTAGCACCAGATATGTAATTCCAGAGGGCTTATTGGGAAGACAGAGAGCATTATTGACAGAGATGGTGAGGGAGGTGGACAGGTCTCAGAAAGGATAGAGGGTAAGTTGCTGCTGAGACTGAATGTTCTACACTCATGGTCTATTTACCAGTGTCCTTTTAAGAAGTCCTTCATGAAACCCGGGCATTGGACATCTTCACTGTCTCTTCTAGAAGATGCATTGTGTTTGTTTCATGGAAAGAATAGGTAAGAGGTTTCCATTGCTTCCCACAAAATAAAGAAGTTCTGAGCTGTATTCTGTTTCCTTCACAGATGATGGACATAATATATTTAAAGTACTTGAAACAGACTATTGTAACTATATTATTTTTTATCTCATAAATGAAAATAATGGGAATACATTCCAACTGATGCAGCTCTATGGTAGAGTATTTTCATGCGGACACTCATCTTGGGTGGGAGGAAAGGGAAGGAAGGAAGCCTAGACACAAAATGATCTCACCGAGGTTATCCTGGACCCTCTCTTCCCCACTGAAGACAGATGTATACCTTTGGGAGTCCTCAGGATCACTGAAGGGAAGATCAGGAGATCTCTCATTGTGCCAGAAAGATGTCTTATTGATGTCAGATTCAGAACAGGTCCTGACATACAATTGTCACCATCCATTTTCCTGTTCTCCTGGAGCCCTGTCCTCTCATTCTCCTCTATCCTCAAGACATAAGTCACAGCAGTAATGTCACTGTTCCCACAGGTCAAGCACCAGATGTGAGCTCAGAACTCAAGAAGAAATTTGTAAAATTTTGTAAAAAATATGGAATTGTTAAGGAAGATATATCGGACCTGACCACTGTTGGTAAGTCTAGCTAGCTGGCTTTCTCCTCCTGAACTTCATGTCCACAGAAAAGGAAAATCCAAGGGAAGACAATCAGCATCCTTTGTCCCAACATGTAGAAGCATCCAATTTCCTCTTAGGGAAATATAATGGGGCTCCTGTCTATCTGAATGTCTTCTGTTGTGCCTCTGCAGACCGCTGTATCCAGGCCCGAGGTGGAACACAGTCCTAAGTCTCCAGGTAGGTGATCTCTGACCCTCATGCAGAGGGGTGGACCAGGGAACAGTGCCTTCCAAAACCATTAGGGACTTGTGCCCAAAGATTACATGAAGGAAAACAACATCGAGGGCTTTCTGTACTCTCTATAAGCCCACCGGTGCTCTGCCCTGGGCAATGTGCTGTGGCAATGTCACACAGATGGCAGGCAATGAGAAGCTCTCCTACCCAATTTACTTTTTCCCCTTCCAACTATCTTTGTTGCAGAGGGAGGTACACATGACCAAATTGTACACAGTTTTCAGTTGCATGACCTTGGGTCAGGACCTAGTCTTACCATGAACTTTTGCACAAATGGCCTAAGCAACCAAAAGAGGAAGCAGTGACGTGCTCCTTACAGAGTGCTGCGAGCAGGGGATGCAGGTGGAAAAGGCTCAGTTCCTGATAATGAGCTTAAGGTTATCAGGACATGAAAGTTGAAATGGTAAAAGAAAAATAGGGTGTGAGTACGAAACCCATATAAATATGAATCTGTGTTTGTGGTCCATCTTCCAAGCCCAGGAAGCCATCTCACCTTCCAGTTAGGATAAGAATATCTTCTCTGACTCTGCACATCCTTGACTTCTCACTCCAGAATAGAACTGACTGATCTTTCCATTGTCCTCCAACCTGAAGAACAGAATTGGGTTTAAAAAAATAAGAACTTCCCTTTGTCCTCAGTTCAATCCCAGGAATGAGTGATGAGTTTCTGTGTTCTCTCCAGGGCAGAGAGAAAGTTTCCCCACCTGGGCTCCAGCATCATCTATCTCCTTCCTCATTGCTACGCCATCTTATGACAAGTTCTGTCACCTGATTTCCACCACTGTCACATATGAATGTGTCATCCTGGATCTCGAGGATCTTCCCAGATTGCTGAGGAAGATTCATCCAATCACCAAGAATCAAAGGCTTTCTCTAAATTTCTCTCTTTGCCACACCCAGGTCAACTCTACATGAAGAAGGTCTTTCTCTATCCCTTCAATAAATGATCAGCCCTGGAGTCCTGTGACTTGTCCTTGTTCTGGGAGAATGGGAGGCTAAAGTGGGAGGATGAGAGGACCTCCTGGTCCCAGCACCAGTTTCCTCCTCCAGTGTCTCAGAGTCTACTCTGAGTTTCAGGATTCTCCCGTCTCCTGCAGTAATCCTCGGACCATCATCCCAAGTCCCCTGAAGGCTGCTTGCCCTTTTATCTGCATATTTTTTAGTGACCCCATAAGACCCTTATGTGTACTATAAGAATATAAGACTTGCTCCATAGTTTCTTTGCTGAGGTTGGCTTTGAACTCATGATCCTCCTGCCTCAGCCTCCCAAGCGCTCCATATTATTATCTTAGAATTACCTTTTCAATGTGGCACTGAGAGAGTGGCTGTGGTGTGACTGACACCAGCTCAATGTGGTTTGGGCATGCCTTGTGCAAAAATAAAGGCTCCATCATCATGGGCATGAAGGTTAATGAGAGAATACTATCTACACATTTGAAGCTCCCTGTATCTTTCTGTGTCCCCAGAAGAAGGCTTAATCAGGTTCAGGTGTATTACTCCTCAAATACTTGGTCTGGTTGCCAAAATATGGCAAAAGGCTATGTAGAAAGCCCACCAGTTATGGTAGGATCCTCCCCTCCCCACTCCTTTTGAAATGGGTTTCACAATGTTTTCCAGGCTAGCCTCAAAGTCTCTCGCCCAAGCCATCCTCCTACCTCAACCTCCTTAGTTCAGGCACATGCCACCATAGCTGACTTGCTCTTCCTTAATGATGGCATTTAAGGGACAGGAATGGTGAGGGCCAGACTGCATGTTCCAATATCCTGGAGAATACTTAGGAAATGATAACAATAGCAAGAGCCACATTGATAATGGGAAATGGCTGGACAGTACCACATGCCAAGAAAACATAGCCCAGATAAAGTCATGAAAAGCCCCTTGTCTATCTCCAGATCAAGACAGCTCACACCGAGACCCATCCCTTCAACTCCAAATATTTTGTGCAAATGAGGCATGAAATATTAAGAACACTCAAAGACAGAGGGGAATGTCTATAGATCAGAAGCAGAGCAAGCCCTTTCTAATGAAAGAAAAGGGGAAATCACGTGGGAACCAGAGAGTAAACGGGGCCTAGCAATGCTGTCCTCTGGGATCTGAGGACAGATCTGAGCCAATAATGCATGTTTGGGGGCAAGTGTCACAAAAGCAAGGCAAGGGTGCCGGCTGAGCCAGAGAGACCCACCCCTTCAACTCCAAGGGAGTTGGACAGCTCCTCTCCCCTACCTGGAGTCACAGAAAGAGGCTGTGGGCCTGTGGTTGCAGAAGCGACAACTTCCAAACTTTAGGAAAAGCACCCCTTAATCTCCTGGGACTGGCCCGACTCTCACATTTAGGCTTCAGTGTTTTCACGGCTGGCCTGACTCTCATGGCTGGCTCTAGATTATTCTGGTGGACATGAACCATCTCATAAATCACCAACATGACAGGGACAATCTGAGATCAGAAAAACAAAATACTTTTACAATCCACTAACATGATTCTCTCCTGGCTCAATTGAGTCACAACTACTTCTCTACCAATTGCAGATTTATGTCTGTGTATCTACATTTCTTATACATAAGCTTTATTGAGCTATCCAATCATTGAATTGTCCCTGCAATTCTTTTTTTGTTTTTTACTTTTATTGGTTTTATTTTTTTAAAATACATGACAGCGGAATGCATTGCAATTCTTATTATACATGTATACCACAATTTTTCATATCTCTGTTTATATATAATGTATGTTGATACCCAATTCAAGTCTTTGTACATGTACTTTGGATAATGATGTCCATTACATTCTACCATCCTTCTTAATCCCCTGTCCCCTCCTTTTCCCTCCCACCCCTCTTCCCAATCTAGAATTCATGTATTCCTTCCATGTTCCCCCTCCCTATCCCACTATGAGTCAGCCTCCTTATATCAGAGAAAACTTTCAGCATTTTTTTTTAATTGGCTAACTTCACTTAGCATTATCTTCTCCAACGCCATCCATTTACCTGCAAATGCCATGAATTTATTCTCTTTTAATGATGAGTAAAATTCCATTGTGTGTGTGTGTGTGTGTGTGTGTATATATATATATATATATATATATATATATATGTCACATTTTTTTATCCATTCATCCACTGAAGGGCATCTAGGTTGGCTCCACAGTTTAACTATTGTGAATTGTGCTACTATAAACATCAATGTGCTGTGTCCCTGTAGTATGCTGTTTTTAAGTCCTTTGGGTATTGTCCAAGGAGAGGGATAGCTGGGTCAAATGGTGGTTCCATTCCCAGATTTCCAAGGAATCTCCATACTGCTTTCCATATTGGGTGTAGCAATTTGCAATCCCACTAGCAATGTATGAGTGTGCCTTTTCCCCCACATCCTCGACAACACTTATTGTTGTTTGTCTTCATAATAGCTGCCATTCTGACTGGAGTGAGATGAAATCTTAGAGTGCTTTTGATTTGCATTTCTCTGATTGCTAGAGATGATGAGCATTTTTTTCATATATTTGTTGATTGATTGTTAAGCCTGGAAACTCAGCCATAGTCTAGATCAGCCTCTATGATCTGCCCACTCTTTCCTTTACTGTTAATGGTGGCCACTTTGACGACATACAAAACAACAGATTTGGGTGGGATGGGTCCTTCAATCTCGTCTTCACCAGCGGTCTCCCTACCTGTCATGGCAGCAGCTTTATCTCTTACTAAGCCTGGACACCCACTTCCTGTCACTGCTTACAATGCTTCACTTTGGGATCCCAAAGCAGTGGCACTCAGTCAACTTCCAGCGAGGCTGCAGGTAGGGAGGGCATCTTTTAGTGATGCTCTGCTACTGTGCCTCTTCACTTGCAGCTTGGCTGCCTCTAGCCCCAGCCCCTCCCTCTTGTGAGTTTTGCTGAAAGCAGCAAGAAACTGCCAACAGCACACCAGACTTTCAACACCCTGCTTTTTTTTTTTTTAAATCTAGTCCCCAGTTCTACAGCCTGCGTCTTCCATAGAACAGCAAGCAAATGTTTGACCAAAGGTTTTGCCAACATGTAACTAGAGGTAGCAGGTTTCCAGGCTGTGACATCTGAATTTTCTCTCTCTCTCTTTCTTTCTCTCTCTCTCTCTCTCTCTCTCTCTCTCTCTCTCTCTCTCTTTCACTCTCTCTCTTTTTGTACCAGAGATTGAACTCAAGGGCACTCAACCACTGAGCCATATCCTTAGCCCTATTTTTATTTTATTTTATTTGAGACAGTATCACTGAGTTGCTTAGCACCTTGCAGTTCCTGGGGCTGGCTTTGAACTGGCAATCCTCCTGTCTCAGCCTCCCAAGCCACTGGAATTACAGGCATGTGCCACAGCGCCTGTCAACACTTGAATTCTTCATAATCTTCTTCCAGTCAACTGGCCATGCATTTTGAAGTTGGATACATTGCCTCATCTAGAAAGTCACCACCATATGGCATTGTCTTGAGCCAGCCATAGGCTGTGTGTGTGACCTGTAAGCATTTGAGCAGCTGAGGGGATTGGAGTGATGCTGCTCTGACTGAGCTGTGTGACATATGTGCCCTTTTTGCTCCTTCTGCCTATGATCCCCACGCAGCTTGAGATGGGAGTGGCTTTCCAAGGTGTCAGTCAATCTGTGGATCATAAGACACCACCAAGTAACCCCTGAAACCCAACCCTTGCTTTATTTGGGTTGAACTTTCTCGAATGTCCTCCCATCAATAAGTAGGAGGGTTTCAGGCATGCTGTCTTTTTTTTTTTTTTTTTTTGTCTGTCTCTCTTGCCTCCCATGTGGGAGCTGAGGTCAAGGAGCCGCCACTGAACACCAAGAAAGGCATTTTCTGTCTCTGTGTGGTTATTTAGTAGCCAGCCCAGTTCACCTGGAGTGATCCTGACTCATTCAGTTGCATGTCACAGCAGGGCATATTCTTTGAGTTAGCCCTGGAGCTAGACTTAGCTAATTAGAATTGTGATAAAGCCAGATACTGCACTTACAAATGGAGATGAAGATCTAGGTCAGTAGAGGGCCTCAAAAATGTGGAGTAATTTGAATTCTATAGAGAAAAAAGCCTGAGGATGTTTGTTGGTTAACACATACTTTAGCCATCTGTCCTATTAGGCTTGGTCCCACTGTCCAGGCAGACACTGAGCAGTTACCTTTTCCTGAAGTTAAAGAATTATGACACACTGTTTAGGAAAGTGGCATAAATAGTAGTTTTACCCTCAATATGATCAAGGGACTAGGAATGAGATATGCCTTAGTTCATTGTAATTGGAAGGCATTAGTTAAAATGGTTACTTTTCCTGCTCAGAATACTGTGTTTTTGCAAGAGTGTTCTAACTTGGCTTGTGTCCAGGCTGAAGATAATGCTCAAGGAAACATAAACATTAATCATGATGATCTTTTCAGAGTTGGGCAATGGGCTGCTTTACATCAACAAGCTCAGTTGCCTGTCCCCGCCATTGCTCATTAGAACACTTGTATGTGAAGCGTGGCATCAGAGTCCCGACACCCAGGACCCCTCTAAGTCATCTGCAGTAATCCAATGAACTCCCAGAGAGCCCTTCATAAATTTTGTTAATCACTTAACCAAAGCAATAGAGCAACATGTTGACAACTTGGAAGCTGCTAATATTTTAACCAAACAATTGGCATATACAAATGCCAAACAAGATTGCAAAGAAGTAATGAAGTCTATTCAATTGTATTCTACTTTGTCAGATATGATAAAGTCATGTCAGAATGCAGGGATGGAAACTCATAAAGCCACTTTGCTTGCTACTACATTAAACCCCCTGATAAATTATGTTAAAATTACAAGGAACGTGGTAATCTTCAAAAGGACTGTAGGGTTAAAAGGGAGACTCAGAAACATCCCAAACACAAGTGCCATATATGTCAAAAAGGTTTTCATTAGGCCAATCAATGTCGATATAAAACTGATATGTTGGGAAACCCATTTTGGGTCCCCC